GAATACTATACACGTCATCATCAATAGGTAATAAACCATATCTGTATCCCACAAATGTCTTACACAAAAGTCTTATTCTTTTCCCCAAATTTCCTTTCCTACACTCAATGTACCAACATTTTAAAGAAAACATTTTTCTTCTAACACCAAATTTATGTGTATTTCCCCTTCAAAGTATTTTACTCTTGGAGCCAGCAGCTGACAGTGGTTACGGCGCTGGACTCCTACATGGCCCACCACAGTTTGAGTCCTAGATCCAGAGGCTTGAGACTCATGCCAGGCATATGTACATGCATGCCTAAATCCCAAGAGGAGAAGGATTGCAGCATGGCCACCCTCCCTAGTGGGGGTGATTTCTCACTCTCTGTCTCTTTCTCTCTCTCAAGCTCTCTGGTAAGCACATGCACCCTATAGCAAAAATCTCTCTTGAAAAAAAAAAAGGAAAAGAAAAGAAAAAGAGGAGCCAGAAAAGTTCCCTTTTCAATTTAAAGAAAAAACAAAGTGGGGGCTGGGCAGTGGTGCAGTATGACACTCTGCAAGGACGACCTACAAGGAAAGATTCCGTGTGGGTGTCCAGAGACCTCAGAGTATGCTGGGCACTCAAGTGCGCAGATCCAGCGCTGGCAAAGGCTGGGGGTGGATCATGGTGTCAAGATTCTGTTCAGAGTGCAGTTTCTGTCACTTATGGAGGAAATGAAAAAACTAGAAAAAAAAATACCTTTCAAATAAATGCAAAAAGCCCATTGACCCCACCCCAGCCAATCTGAATGCAGCTGGTCACTGTGACTCAGCCTCTGAATCTGGCAGCACTAAGCAGACATTGTCACCAGTCTCTGCTGCAGGAAATGCGAGGCAGGAGAAAGGCTTTCTGGCCAGGAGGAGAACCCATGTGATGATCATGTGCTATGAATCAGAAGCTGGGTTACAGTCTCTTGGAATGCAAGACCTACTTAATTTTGGCAAAACATAGTTTTCTGGCTCAAAAGAAAAGAATGCATGAGAGAGTATTTAGACATCTCCAAGTAAGTAATTCTGACAGACACAGGAAGGCAGAACAGAGACTTGGGAGTGGCAGAGACAGTCTCTCAAGGCTCAGGGCATTTAAGCCTTTAACAGGAAACAATTTAATGACATTATTCCAACTACCAAATAGCAAGGAAGGCTAGGTATAAGTCCAGTAAATTTTGTTCCCTTAAATTTAGAATATTTCGGGAAAAATATAGAAACACATGACAATAAACAGGGCTTAAAAGTGGGGCCGGCAGATGGCGTGTAGTTACATCGCTGGACTCCACATGGTCAACTCTGGTTTGAGTCATGGACCTGGCCTACAAGGAAAGATTCCGTGTGGGTGTCCAGAGACCTCAGAGTATGCTGGGCACTCAAGTGCGCAGATCCAGCGCTGGCAAAGGCTGGGGGTGGATCATGGTGTCAAGATTCTGTTCAGAGTGCAGTTTCTGTCACTTATGGAGGAAATGAAAAAACTAGAAAAAAAAATACCTTTCAAATAAATGCAAAAAGCCCATTGACCCCACCCCAGCCAATCTGAATGCAGCTGGTCACTGTGACTCAGCCTCTGAATCTGGCAGCACTAAGCAGACATTGTCACCAGTCTCTGCTGCAGGAAATGCGAGGCAGGAGAAAGGCTTTCTGGCCAGGAGGAGAACCCATGTGATGATCATGTGCTATGAATCAGAAGCTGGGTTACAGTCTCTTGGAATGCAAGACCTACTTAATTTTGGCAAAACATAGTTTTCTGGCTCAAAAGAAAAGAATGCATGAGAGAGTATTTAGACATCTCCAAGTAAGTAATTCTGACAGACACAGGAAGGCAGAACAGAGACTTGGGAGTGGCAGAGACAGTCTCTCAAGGCTCAGGGCATTTAAGCCTTTAACAGGAAACAATTTAATGACATTATTCCAACTACCAAATAGCAAGGAAGGCTAGGTATAAGTCCAGTAAATTTTGTTCCCTTAAATTTAGAATATTTCGGGAAAAATATAGAAACACATGACAATAAACAGGGCTTAAAAGTGGGGCCGGCAGATGGCGTGTAGTTACATCGCTGGACTCCACATGGTCAACTCTGGTTTGAGTCATGGACCTGGTGGCTTGAAACTCACACTGGGCACGTGTGCCCCTGTGTCCAAGATCAGAGAGCAGAAAGGAGGAGAAGAGACTGCGGCCATCTCCCCAGGGCGTAATTTCTCATCTTCCCTTTTACTGTCTATCTGTCTCTCTCTTCCCATCAACTGCATGCACCCTAAGGCAAAAACCTCTTAAAAAGGGGGGGGGGCCCTTAAAATTAAAAATGGACTGGGACCAGCAGTTGGTGTAATGGTTATGTCACTGAACTCCCATGTAGTCAACTGCGGTTCAAGTCCCAGACCCAGTGGTTTAAACTCATGCTGGCCGCATGTGCGTGTGTGCCCAAGATCCCGAGAGGAGAATGGAGGAGAAGAGATTGAGGCATGGCCATCCCCCTGGAGGGTGATTTCTTACTTTCTGTCTCTCTGTCTCTCTCTGTCTTTCTGGTGTGTGCATGTGCCCTATAGCAAAACCTCTCAAAAAAAAAAAATTATAAATGGACAAAGTACTAGTGTCTCCAAATTCTGAATACCTTTCCAAACCAAATAAGCAAAATCACAAATGAACACGTGCCTCTTTTGGTCATTAAAACTAGCTCTAATAGTAAGCTCCTCTTGAATCATACTGTACAGTTTGCAGGGCTCTCTCTCCAGCCCTGAATTCTAGATCTGATCATCCAGTAAGATCTCTCTCCCCGCTACGATGTGCCAAGGACACCTCGGTATCAGTGTTTAAAGGGGACCTTATGGGGACCAGCAGTTGGTGAAGGGCTATGTCGCTGGACTCCCATGGATTTGACTGCAGTTTGAGTCCCAGACCCAATGGCTTGGACTCACGCCAGGCACGTGTGCATCCAAGATCCCAGAAGGAGAATGGAGAAGGGGCTGCAGCATTGTCATGCCCCCG